AACTCTGACATGTTTAATGTTTTAGAGCCTAACAAAGGAAAGCAACATCGTGAGAAACCCAGTTCTGCGCCAGATTGTATTCCTTGGCTACGGCACCATGATTTATAAACACTGCTATGAGAGGACTTCCTGTTCTGCTGAGCTCATACAGGTAATAAAACATTGACCTTACATGCTGCTGTAGAGTCACGTACACATTTAAGAATGAGAGAACGGGTGATTTACTTCCTTATTTGCTCTTGCAGCCCATTCAAGACCTTCTTGCACAGGCTCTGAAAGATGGAAACACAGACGACATCATCCTGTTCGTGAAGGCTTTGGGAAATGCTGCGCATCCTTCTAGCCTCAAGACAATTACAAAGATGCTGCCCCTACATAGTAAATTAGGTTCATCACTGCCAGTGAGAGTTCATGCTGACGCCATGATGGCCTTGAGGAACATCGCCAAAAAGGAGCCTAAAACGGTGAATTATCAACGCAGAGATTTCCTGATCATTCTGGTTTTTGCACAAAGCTCCACACTGAGTCTGCGCTCTCTTATACATTAGGTCCAGTATTTAGCCTTTCAGCTCTACGGGGATAAGACTCTTCATTCAGAGATCCGCATGCTTGCGTGCATGGTGCTCTTTGAGACAAAACCTTCAATGAGTTTGGTGTCAGCTGTTGTTCATATTGTGAAGACAGATACAAATTTGCAAGTAGCAAGCTTCACCTATTCCCACATGAAGTCCCTGACTAGGAGCACCAGCGTCATTTATGCCTCAGTGTAAGAGTGCTTTCTAATCCTTCGTCACAATAAATCTCTGTGATTTGATCCATCCTGCAGTGAGCTCTTTCATGTTATCCCTGCAGTGCTGCAGCATGCAAAGCTGCCCTGAGAATGTTGGGCCCAAACCTGGACAAACTGAGCTCACGTTTCAGCAAAGCCATCCACGTCGACGTCTATAACAGTGAGAATCGCCGTGCCCGGTTTAACTAACCCGGATCTTTATTTCCGATTTAATAATGTTTAACTGCATCTCATTAAACTCTCTGTTAGGTCTCTTTATGCTTGGTGCTGCCGCGACTGCTTACTACATCAATGATGCTGCCACCATCATGCCCAAATCTATTACGACTAGGATCAAGGCTTTCTTCGCTGGAGCTGCTGCTGACATTCTGGAGGTAAAGGAAACCGAAATCAGTCCAGATATTTAATAACTAACCTGAAAGTTACTTGTCTTTTTTTTCTAGGTGGGAGTAAGAACTGGGGGACTACAGGAGGCTTTTCTGAAAAACCCAGCAGTTTTTGATAGTGCTGACAGGGTCACCAGGATGAAACATGTCATCAAGGCTGTAAGCAACACCATAAAGTTACAAGAATGACAGGGACGTCTTATCTGCAAAATGAAACAGAAGACTAGTGATCAGTTGGACTGCATCTCTCTCTCTACAGCTCTCTCACTTGAAGTCTGCACCCAACAGCAAACCCCTGACTTCCATCTACGTCAAGTTTTTTGGACAAGAAGTCGCCTTTGTTGACTTTGACAAAAACTGGTTTGACAACACCTTTAATGTACGATTTAAACAAACAGCCCATCAACCTAAAGATTAGTTTAATCACGATTTTGCAAGACGCAATATTTATAAAATATTCTTCCCCTGCAGCTCATCTTTGGCAATAACGATGCTGACACGTTTGGTAGAGAAGTTTTCAAGGCTCTGCAGTCTGGTCCTACTTGGCGCTTTGTTAAGCCTCTGCTGGCTAATGAGGTGAGACGTATCATGCCTACTATAGCTGGTTTTCCCATGGAGCTCGGTCTGTACACTGCTGCAGTGGCTGCTGTTCGTGGTCAAAGTGAGTAAATGCTAAAAATCAACTAAAACACCTAATATTACTTAACGACCTAATATTTCCATCAACACCAAAACTTCTTTAAAAGTTTTGAGCATTTTTTTAAACTTTTTTCAAAGAAAGAAGAAGTTGCAAACTTTCTTTTAATAAATTAATATGGAAATATCATAACAATGTGCAGAAAAGTAACTTTCTGTTCTGTTTTCTTAGTGAAAGTCACGACAACTCCAGCTCTGCCAGAAGACTTTTATCTCAGACACCTTCTCAAGGCAGACGTATACATTAGTACCAAGGTCACGCCAAGGTGGGGCAATAGCTGTCGCTACAATAGTAAATGGCTAATACTTTATAATACACCACATAACTAAGGGTTTAATTCCCCTGGAATCAAGTGGGAATTTCCAAGAATTTTACCTGAAATTATTTTACCTGGATGGTTCACACCAGCATAATGAATGAAAGTTAAGCTACTTGATGGTTGGAGAACCTAAAATACAGCAGGTACCTGCAGTGTGAGATGGGGAAAGTCCCCACTGAAAATGGCTTCATTTTGTGTTTGTGCCTCAGTTCCTGTAAAATACCTGAAGTTACGCACTACTTAAAATTACTTATGCATTACTCAAAACTCTTCATGTACTATTTAAAACGACTTACAGTGTAATTTGTCTCTTTTCTTGCAAAATAACCAAAGTTACACACTGCTTACTCACTATTATTGCTACTGCTGTACTGTTTAAATTGCTTACAGTACAATTAGTCTTTTCCTGGAAACACAATACTTAGAATTACTTGCATACTACTTAAAGTTACTTATCCATGAATTTTTTCCTTGTTTTCTTAAAATTAAAAAAAAATTAAGGTACAATTTGTGTCTCTTTTCCTGTAAAATACTCAAAGATACGCACTACTTTAATTTTCTTAAGCAATATTTAAAGATATTAGAATAGAATAGAATAGAATAGAAGAGCCATTTATTGTCATTGTACATGTACAACAAAATTGCAGATGCTCCACACTATTTGTGCCAAAATAAAATATAAATAGTGTACAGCAGGAATATCTACAATCAAGAGGGATATATACAAAAATAAGGGAAAGGCGCACGTTAGAGAACAAAATAGTTGCAAACAGGTTGGAAGTAGTGCAAAGAAAAGGTCTGAATAGAGTCTGTGTGTAAGCGACCTGAGTGATGCAGGTATTTATGTACTATTTAAAATTACTCAAATTATAATTTGCATAATTTATGTCTCTATTCCTCTAAAATACCTGAAGTTACATGCAGATTAAAGGTACGTGTGCATAATGTAAAATTACTAACAGTGTAATTATTATTTTCTTGTAAAAAACTTAAATTATTACCCTTATGCAACTGTGTCTACCTCTGGGTATTTGTTGGTAAATATAATTATATTGTAATTTCAAGTATAATATAAGGAAATTCCACTTATTTCTGGGGGAATTACCGTCTTGGGCGCCAGCTGTATTATAACGTGTTACCAACAAATGTAATATCATGTTCAACTGTCCTCCTCTTCTAGTGTGGCTGTGAACACATTTGCTGTGTTCGGGGTAAACACTGCCATACTCCAGGCTGTCATGGTATCAAGAGCCGAACTCTACTCCATTGCTCCTGCCAAAACTGAGGTCACATTTAACATCCATGAGGGCTACTTAAACTTCACAGCTCTTCCTGTTTCAGTGCCTGAAAACATCACAGCTGTGGAGTAAGCCATGACATCTTTAATTTATTGCATATTCTTAAACATCGCTTCTGAGAGGCTTTTACCTTTGCACCGATGATTACGGTTTATCCTTGCTTCTCTTTAACAGGGTTGAGACTTTTGCTGTGGTAAGAAATCCTGTTTCGGGAGAAAGTATCACTCCTGTGATCCCTGCCAACCCAAGACAGATTCTTATATCAAATAACACTTCTTCTGATGCTACTGATGAGGTGAATTTTAAACCGTTTTAGATATATAAAAAAATATTGTGTCTTTTTTATGTAATTTACATACTTTCTCCTCATAGTCAAGATCTGCAGAGTTCATTTCTCAACGTCAGACAGCTGGCATGCACATCAAATATAAATTGGTGAAGAGTAAGAAGAAGTACTGCGCTCAGACTGTTAACGTTGGACTCAAGGCCTGTCTCAAGATTGCCACGGCTCACATGGGGGATGCTGCAGTGTATAAACTGGCTGGAAAGCACTCTGCTGTTTTTTCTGTCATACCAAGTAAGAACTTAGAAAAGTGCTTTTTCTAGTGACACAGTGCAGAAATTAGCTGCTAACCGCATTAACTGATGATGCTTTCAGTCGAAGGTGAAGCTGCTGAGAGACTGGAATTAGAGGTTCAACTTGGAAGTAAGGCTGCACAGAAGATCATCAAACACATCACCCTTAGAGAAGAAGAAATCCCCGAGGAAACACCAGTCTTAATGAAGCTCCACAAAATCCTGGCCTCTACCCAGAAGAATAGCACCATGTCCTCCTCCTCTTCGTCCTCCAGTTCCAGCTCTCGCCTTCCTGTCAGATCCTCTTCCTCTAACTCCACTTCATCCTATTCTGGCAGGAAGACCATTGATGCAACTGCTCAACAAGTCCAGTTGCTGAAAAGACGTTACAGCAGCAGCAGCAGCAGTAGTAGTAGTAGAAGT